AGCCCTGGCGAAGAGTTGGCTCCAAGGCTGCAGCAGACTCCAGCTTCGGCTGGGCACTCACCACGTTGCTCAAGGGGTTGCGCTGGAAGATGTCGTAGCCTGGTGTTAAGAGAAGTGTTTGTGAGACTGGAGACAGTGGGGATGGACGCTTGTCCATTCTCTGTTGAGTGACTGGCCTTGGAGATGCAGAGACCAGGCACAGCTGAGCAGCTGGAAGAGCTCTCTGCACCCCCTCAGGGCACAGGACATGGTGGAGGACACTGAACTCACAGGTCCACCCTCTCCTGCCCCGTTGTTCTCTCCAGGAGCATCCTTACCTGTGTACGCAGAGAGCAGCCAGGTGCCGATCAGAGGGGCGAAGGTCTGTCCCGGCTTGGTGACCAGAGCCACCATCCCAAAGAGCAGCGCCGAGGCCGCCTGCTTCCTACGGTTCAGGACTAGATCCTCATCTACCAAGTCAGTGACCACCAGGTTGAGCAACTTACAGGTCCCTTCTGTGAACACCCGATTGCTGCAGAACAACAGGCAAAGCATTGAATAGGGCATTAAAAAAATGACAGGAGTAGATAAGAGAGGAGAGGAAATGGTGAGGACATTGAGAAAGGTTCCCCAACACTTAAAATAAGAATTTTGGAAGCCCTGGCTACAGGAGAGGAACACTGCTAGCAATAAGCCTTGTGTACCCTGCAGTGATGCCTTGGATCAGTCCCAACCTGTCAGACACAGACCTGGGGACAGGACACAGCGGGCCAGTGGGTAACAGGCAAACACAGCATGTACTGAGGGCCAGTGGCCCCAGGAAGGCTGCAGAGGAGGTGGGGAGCTCAGCTCAGCAGCTGGGAGAGGCTGCTGCAGGCTGCCACCAGCCCTGCCAGGTCTCTGTCCTCAACACGGCTGCCTCCCTCACCCTGCTGCAGGCACAGCCAGTGGTTCTGCAGTGACCTGAACCAAGCTCAGGTGCAGACAGAGCTGGGAACCGCACGGATTCTGTGTGACCCTGGCTGCTGTTCCCTGCCTCCCACTCCTCTCCGTGAAACAGAGGCAAGTCATTTCCCTTGCCAGGTGGCAGAGGAAGCAAGTGCTGCCGGCCTACCTGGCGATGAAGATGCAGAGCAGATACACCTGATCAGGTCCTGCCAGGAGCATGACAATACTGAGAGCCAGCTTCAGGAAGAAGAGTCCTCGCACCACAGCGTAAACCCCACAGCGGCGGCAGAGGGACAGGAAGTAGAGGTTGTTGAGATGGGGGGCAATGTAAGAAACACCTGAGCAGAGACAGAAGTGCAAACAGCTTGAGGGAGGTTCAGTATCCACTGTGCCCCCAGGACCAATACAGAGAGAGGGGACAAGGCTGGCTATCGCCAGCAGGGCTGTAGGACAGGAAGTACAGAATCGCCCCCACGCACCCACAGAAGCTGCGGCAGATGTACTCAGTGGCTTTGTGGCACCTTCCTCCATCAACCTCACAGGCAGGAAGGTAGAAAACTTTTGCCCAGCGTCACACAAGGGCTGAGACTCAGCCCTGGAGCAGAAATGAGAGGGACTGAACAATGTGACCAGACCTGGCCCACACAGAACCTCTCAGGGTAACTCTAGGACCGGTGCCCACAAATCTGTGTCAGCCCGGAAATGGTCCATACGCCACAGAGAGAAAGGGATTAAATTCAG